TGAATCGTCCACATCATCTTCTAAACACGCGTCAATTGTCGACTTGTATCATCGCATATGGAAACATCAAAATCGCTGAGCTGTGCCGCAAGTGCTGGACACCTACGGTCGCGAAGAAGTACGATCGGCAAGGGAAAAGATGTCAGAGGGAACGGGTAAGACTCGAAATAGCACAAATGGTGCAACTACCCAAAGACCGCCTCACACTCTTCGTTCGTCGTTCTCGTATGTGGAGCAAGGCTATATGGGACCATGCATAATTGTGACCAGCAGGCGAACAGAGAAACGGTGGATTGCGCTATTTACTTTCTTGAGCGCACGCGCCGTTCATCTGGAGATTGCTGTTCGATGAACGCACTAGAGTACTCATCGAACAGACCTATTGTACAGCGTAATGTATGAAGCAGACAAAGTCGTGAATTCGAGACCTCTAACGCATACACCGCTTGACGCTCCCAATAAAGAACCACTAGCCCCTAACGATTTCCCCTTAGGGAGAGCTAATTCCGAGCAGATCACATCCTCAGGAGGAAAACGGCTGGCAGAATACCTCCCAGATTTGTGCCGTAGGACTAAATGGTGGAAACCGGTAAAGCCGTTAACAGTACCGGACCTAGTGCTGGTCTGCAACATTCGCGACCACTACGTTGAGAACTCGGCATCAAGTTTGGTCAAGATAGGTAGGTCTGAATGGAAGAGGTCAAGACGACTGGAGGAACGTTCATCGTACACCTCACTGTGCAGTATCTAATCGAAGAAAATATCGACTTGAAGAACACAGCACTAAAATGTCAGGGCATAGCTGTCGGGTGAGGCGATGTCGAGCTCGAAATATTTAACGCATAAATATACTGAGTAAACTGCTGTCCGACAGGATATGACCATGACCATGGTATTACGCGACATCAACGCGCACCGCGATCATTGCCACCCAAACCCGTCAAATGACGATCATCCTATTGGCTGAGCAGATAGACGATTCGACATTCCACATCATAAACGATGACACCCCCACCAGGACTGTGTGCCGCTACAGCAGTTCGCCAGGCCAAAAAATTGCTAGCGCACAGTGACGGACCCACGGTTGTTTTTTAATACCCAATCGTTTGATAAAGTGATAAACTTTGGTTAAATAGATTTCCATACAAAGTTTGACAGTCCATTATATCAAAAGATAAATTCATAAAGTTTATCTCCAGTTTATTACTTTGATGAAGACCCCTAATATTTCATGTATTAACCCACCATGCAAAACATGAGAAATAGGCAACAATCGTCCATGGCAACAAATTGGCGACTCAAACACGATTCAAAACTGAGACTGTGTGCATTAAATGCATTGCTCAGCTGCCGCTCTTCGTATACGTGTGAAACACAACTCTAACCTTACACTTGTACTACTGCTGTATGCATATGGCTGTATTAATGCTTCAAAAATACAAAGATGCATTAATGTAACAGTATTAAAGCATTCTAACAAGATATGTATCCCTTTATGTAAATGCTACTTCTCTGATACATTTTAATATACGGGGACATACAAAAAAGTAGCACTTACAAATGCAAATGCATATCTTGTAAAAGCCTGTTTGTGCTGAAAATAGTATCGCACAACACGTCCGTTCACTAAAATTTGTGTACAAGACTGAAAATATTACAAAAATTCCACTTCAAATTTAATAAGAAATGTACTTAAAACAACAACAACGTGCATTCCCTTGCGATTCGCTAGAATTTGAATTTATTCGTGGAAATTCATGACTACGCATGAATTATTCACACTAATTCACTCATATAGTAAGCATTATTCGTGAATGCATACAACCGATTTCTACTGGGTACTTAAGTGGGGAGGTACCCTGCAGAAAATCCGACTAACTCAGAACTAGCGTAGAACTAGACCTTTTGCCGACAGTACTATTTCTAACTCAATACCCAAGCAATAGGAGTGTTCGCTATGCACAAAATTTGTACAAGTTGGTACCAATTGTTACCAAATCGTGTTCGTTTAGCCAAAAACCCAGTAAAACTTACAAGGAGAGAGCACAATTTTGACATTTCCTTTGGGAAAATTTTTGCCAGTAAGAATTTGCAAGCAGGATTGTGGCACACGGTTGCATTTTTATCAACATAAATTTGAATCAACAAGTTCGTTAAATTTAAAAATGAACAATCTTGTTGCGATTTACTAATGAAAGAAGTACGTAAATATTCGTTTATTCAATTAATTTAACTAATTCCAAACATTTGAAAGGTACTCGGCTGAAAAAGCTGTATTCGTAATCGGAACGCACTCGATCCCACTGTCGATATAGGAAATCCGACAGTGACTTCCACAAAGAAATTGAAACGTATGTTGAAGAAAGTCAGAATAAGAAGAAATATACGTATAACTCCTGTTTTGGTTTATACCTGAAATAATTAAAAAAAAATTATTATGCTCGAAATGCAACCGTGGACGCTAGCTGGCAGTGAAGCTTGCAAATGTTTGCTAATTCCTGTTCGCGCAAAACTTAGTAAGTTTCTCTCTTTGGGAGAGTAAGGTACCTTATTCTCTGATTTTTGTTACTGGCTAATTCTTACTGGCAGCTGCATAGCGAACACTCCTAATGCTACCAACTGTCTAGTTTTACACGCCAATGACGGTGGCAATTGTCGCCCAGTGCATTACTTGGCAACTAGTATTTAACCGGTTCCGTTTTGGACAGTTTTTTTTATAAGAAACCGTTTTTAAGATTCAATTTTTTTGATATTTTTTTACTTTTTTTCTTTTCTTTTACAGATTCCCTTTTTGTTACATATTTTATTTAAAAAAAAATTGTTGTAAGCTGCACGCAACAATTAAAATTCATTAAATTTGAAAACTCACACAGCTGCCCCACCGCGGTTTGAACTCGCGACCAACGATGCTCGAGTCGGAGGTCTTCTCGCTGAGCTACTTTCGTATTATACGAGTAGTGAGCATTTGCACATTTACACCGCAAGTTTCAACTGTCCCGCCTTGCATCCGTTTTGCACTAGTTCAGAGATATTTCTGATATATGTAGTTCGGAACTAGCGCTTTGTTAGACTATCTCTAAATTTTACTGCAGGGTACTTAAGCGGGTTTCACTGTACGTGTAGTTTTTCAAAGAATTAAAGGCTCAGTTATGCATACTTGGCATTGCATGAGAGTTGTCACATAAGGAATCTGCTAAATGAGCTTTGCGTGTATGCAATTGTCCAACGCACAGCATTACATATGTAAAAGTCTGTTGATTTTTGATTTCTACGTAAAATGACATGCCATGCAGTGCAGTACAAAGTATGCATAACTGAGCCATAAGGCGAATAGTGTGTGTCTCATGTCTTTCTTGGCGCTAGCGCTTTTCATATATTGGGGGTTAGCGCCTTAATTCCGGCTACTGTGTTAACGTAATTGTTTTGCGCAGCACTGTACTACCTACCCATGCCTAGTTTCATTAAGGCCCGTTTACATACAACTTTGGCGTTGCGTTGGCGTTGGCGTCGCTTCGACAGCTGACTATGAATACATGTATTTATATGAAAGTCTCCATATAACCAAAGTTGGGCAACGCCAACGCCAACACAACGCAGAAAGATGGCCAACTCTCAACTTTTCGCGCGCGTCGTTCGTCAGCTGTTCTAAATAATCAAAATTATGTGATTTAATTTTAATTTTTAATCAAATGCGGGCAAGAAATATAGTTTTTAATGCAATTATTGATGTAAAAATTTTGATTTATCAGCCGCTAGTATGTTAATTTAGTGACCAAAGTATTCTGTACTAAGCGTTCATTGTAGCAAGCACGGGCGTTACGCGCGCCGCTGTCAAAGCGACGCCAGCGCCAACGCAACGCCAAAGTTGTATGTGGACGGGCCTTTAGGGATAAAACGATACCATGGAAGTATCGATACCTGTACTTGGAAGTAGCATCGAAAGAAAGTATCGATGCCTAGTAAGTATCGGGCTGATATCGATATCTACTTATATCGATATTTGTACCTATATAAGAATTGTTTGTATAAAAAACGCCATCTCATATCTATGCAGTTTTTGTCAAAATAACTGATGTGACTATAATTGAGGATTTTAGACGAATGCTACTTAACCTTTTAAGAAAAACTTTAAGTTTTGAAACATGGTTTACTAGGATGGCCTCCCAGAAAACAAGAAAAAGGGCAAAGTCCAATACGTTGTTATTTAAAAAGTTCCCAGAATTTTGTTAATAGAATTGTCTTCGTTTGTATGTATATACATATTTTATTTGTTATACTTATTATTTATTGTGTACAAAGAGAAATCGATTGAGATCAAAAACAATTACTTTATAATTTATTTCATACAAATGAATTTATTATTGTTCAACAGCAGTTTTGCAAAGTCACAATGGTATATTTCTGAAAGAAGTAATCGTGTTGATAATTTTTAGAGTGAAAAGCTGCTAAGTTTGTTTGTAGGAAATTTAAAGGGGAAGAAAAAAAAACTTTTTAAAACATTTCCTTCAAGAATTTTGCAGAAGGCTCTGTTGCAAATTAAAAGATTTAGAATTTTTTGTAAGCTTATCGTTTTTTCTGTGCCTCTTTTGGACTTAGTAAATTTACCTTTAATTGAATATAAACTTGAAGACGTTGCGTTTTTAATTTACCTTGCTTCCTATATCCAAATATGAGTTTTCACAAAAAGTGGACTTAGCAACTTTTGACTTCGACCTAGCAATATGTTAAAGTGGTGATTATAGGTCTTTCTTTGTAGGAATTTTCCATTGGCAACTAAACTGCCAAAAGTTCTAGATATTCACAATAATAATTAGATTAAAAAAAAACTCCGGAAATAAAGTTTTCACTGAATCGGGTTTCGATATAAGTACTTTCTTCCGATACCTACTCAGTACTCGGTTCAAAAGTATCGATACTAAAATTACTTGGTATCGGACGAAAAGTATCGAGTATGTACTTGTATTTACTAGTATCGTTTTATCCCTAAGTTTCATCCCTAACTTTGCAATTTTTTGGTGGCACGGTCGCCGACGGTTTTGTTAAAATTGTTTCAAAATTCTTCAGAACTTGTCTCTTTTTTGTATAAAGTGATTATTTATAATATCCATTCTACCACTAATTACATCTTGCAGCAACTTTTTATGAACTCGATGCTAGGGGTTTGAAACAATTACATTTCTGCCTGCTAGTATTGCTCTAGATGTTGAATAGAAATGGCATCAACGAGTACTGCAACAGCACCGTCTCAGGATGCGTGCTATATTTCCTTGCTTGGCTTAGCCGAGTATTTCCGCACATCTAAGCCACCGAACATTAAAAAATGTATACAGTGTTTACAAGCTTTGTTCACTTTCCAGCCACCGACGAAGGTGGAAGCACGCACACATCTGCAAATGGGCCAAATATTGATGGCGTATACGCTAAATACCGACCTGGCTCGAAATCATTTAGAAACCGCGTGGAAATTATCCGAGACATTGGTGCACTTTGATGACGTTAAGTTTGACACCGCCTCGCTATTGGCGCAGCTACATGTGCAGTTGGAACAAAATTCACAGGCAAAGGCAATGTTGCGCCGCGCTGTTGAATTATCGCAGCACAATGTTTTCTGGCATTGCAAATTGCTCTTACAACTCGCGCAAATACACGCTTCGGATAGGGAGTATTCGTTGGCCTCGGAACTCCTAGCTGTGGGTGTAGAATCAGCCGAAGAGACGGGCGCCACTTATCTCAAAGTGCTGTTTCTGTTATCACGCGCAATGATTCTTATGATCGAACGCAAAACAAACGATGTATTGGCTTTGTTAAACACAGCCGGCGCCATAATCGACAACAACATAACCAATGCTCATCAAAAGGAATACCTGAAAGTGTTTTTTCTTGTGCTACAGGTATGCTACTACCTTGCCTTGGGTCAGGTAAAAACCGTAAAACCTAGTTTGAAACAGCTGCAAACGTCCATTCAAACTATAATGGCGCCAAATTGGCCGTCAGATGAAGGTAAACTTTATGTTATGTTAATTTTCCAATTGAAATTCTTGTAACTTTTTGCTCTTAGCTATATTCGGACAAAACGCATTGGAAATGTTTGTGTGGTTGCCTAAAGAACAGCTTTATGTTTTGGTATACCTAGTAACCGTTTCGCACTCAATGATGGCTGGCTATATGGACAAGGCACAAAAGTACACTGAAAAAGCGCTTACACAAATCGAAAAATTAAAAGCGCAAGACGATAAGTCCATATTGTCGGTGTTTAAGGTGATATTACTGGAGCACATTGTCATGTGCCGCATGGTAATGGGCAATCGTATACTAGCCATTACCGAAATCGCCGCTGCGCGGGATGTTTGCCTTGCAACACCCAATCGTGGTCTACTCCGGCGTCATTCCGCGCAATTACATTGCTTACTCGGCTTATACTCAATGTCGACTAGCTTCTATGAGCATGCAGAGCGGCAATTCATAGCTTGTGTTATGGAAACCTCTGAGCGCGACCTAAAATTGTTCGCAAATTTAAATCTAGCAATTATCTTTCTACGTACAAAGCGAGAACAGGATCTAAAACAAATATTGGATACTGTATCCACCGAAAATACGCACACACATAGCAGTCAAGCGCTAATGGGTGGTTTCTACTACGTACAAGGACTCCACGCCTTTCACAAAAGCAGCTTTCATGAGGCCAAGTAAGTTCATTTTATAGAAATTTTTGCGATCTTATAAAAGAACCAAAAAAACATTACGAGAGTCCACGATGCTAAATCAGGATTTAGCCGAGCGGTGTGGGGCCTACTGGATTAATATATGACAATATAATTGTTTATTTATTTCTTTCAGACGATTTCTGCGCGAAACATTAAAAATGGCAAATGCTGAGGATCTAAACCGGCTAACCTCTTGCTCTTTGGTTTTACTGTCACACGTCTTCCTCAGCATTGGAAACTCAAAGGAGAGCATGAATATGGTGACACCGGCCATGCAATTGGCTTCAAAAATACCAGATATTCATGTCCAATTATGGGGTTCTGCCATACTCAAAGATCTGCATCGCATGTCTAAAGATGTGTTGCACGAGAAGGAAGCATTTGCCAATCATGTGAAATACTCTGAAAATCTGATTGCCGATCAGAGAAAATGCGTTCAGAGTGTGCATCATTCATTGATAAATTGGTTTAGTGCTGAGCCGCCCACAACCAGTGGGAACAGCGCCGATGACGGAGGTGGTGGTTGCAGTATTAGTGGACAAATGCCACTAGTGCGACACATTATGTAAAATATCTGAAATTTGCATCACCTCACAACGCGCATATGAACTCTGAAAAGCATACAATAATGGAAAAAATGTGGGAAGCAAATCAAACCCACTGTTGCAATACTGATTGAAAATTAGAAGCAGCAAAAACCGCCACTTTCAAATAAAATTCTTAATTACATACATATTTTTATTAACGTAAACTAGTTGTATTAAATTTTAAGTCCAGACATAGCAGCCTGTTCTATTATGTTTAGTTTTAATTTTCTGCGCTGTTTACCCTTGATTCGCGCATTGATTGCTATGGTTTCTCAATCGCTAACTGCATTAGTTTTTCCTCGCCAACACTTTCTAAGTCAGCTTCTTCATTGCTTCGTAACGCATCGCTAGCTACAAGACGTTCCATATCTTCACGTGCCACCGTTAGTACTGTGGTCGTTTCATCATCATCTGCCTCCTCATCTTCGTCCACATCCAAAATAGTAATACTAAAATCGGCTATGTCCGCACTTCCCCGATTACGTTTAATAGCACCGCTTTTCGCTTGAGTAGATTGGCGCTTACCTCTACTCACAGCCTTTGTAGTGCCATCAGCATCATCCCCAACGTGTGTTTTCATATGTGTACGCAATGTACCCAGATGGGTAAATTTATCGCCACAAAAGCAGACATGATTTCGTTCACCTGTATGAGTACGATGATGTATGATGCAGTCTTGCTTCTGGGTAAATGTTTTATTACAGAAGCGGCATTTGTACGGTTTTTCGCCTGTATGTATGCGTCGATGATTTTTCAGTGTAAATGAGGTTGTAAAACGCTTTGGGCAAAGATCACACGCATACGGTCGTTCGCCAGTATGTATGCGCTTGTGTTTCACCAATGAACTGGATATGGTAAATGTTGCTTGACATTCATCGCAACGGAATGGATGTTCGCCGGTGTGCGTACGCTTATGGGAGCATAATTCGGCTTTGGTGACGAAACTCATTGAACATTCGTTACATTTGAAATTCTTCTCTTTTGAATGACGCATTATATGCTGCCTTAAATTTGTTTTTTGACTGAAACCTTTGCTGCATATTTCACATACAAACGGCTTTTCGCCGCTGTGGACACGTAAGTGATCCTTGAGTGCAGATAGTATGGTGAAAACTAGGGAAATAGACTTTGAATGTAAGCTTTTTCTTTGTGTCTACTTCTCTTACCTTTCTTGCAATGAGGACACTGATTGCGTAAACTACGCTTATGCACAGCTACCATATGCTTACTGAGTTCGTCATTTGTGCTAAAAGACTTGTCACATTCAGTGCATTCCTGTTCTTGCCAATGTGTGGATTTGTGTTCTTTTAAGGTTTCTTCTGATATGAAAACACGTTCGCATATATTACAGTTGTGCGTAACTTTATTGCAAAGATCTTGTTTCCTATGATAGATAAGCGATCTTCGCAACGCAAATCCTGCATGACAAGTTTCACAGAAGTGTACTAATTTTGCGGGTTTTGTTTCTTGAATAATCGGTTGCGGTGTAATAGAGGAAGTCACATTGGCTGAAGCAGGCTTTGTTGAGCTTGTACCTTCATTATCGTCGCCATTTTCTAAATTCTTACTTAAAGCTGCACTCTGTGAAGATAATAATAGACTAGTTATCATAGCAAAAGGTAAAATTAAAAATTTAATTTAACTAAATTGTTTAATACCATCCAATGCATACGAGCAAATTTCTTTGGACATACCTTTGCTGTTGTTTTTGTTGTACCCGATTCCTTATTTTTGCTAACTTCACTCCCGTCTTTTGGTGTATCTTCGTTGCCGTGTCGCTTTAATTTATGCCGTACTAAACGTTTCGCACTCACAAAAGTCATCGAACAATGATTACATGACAGCTCTTCTTTAATTTGTTTTTTATTTACTTCCGTCGTTGATCCTGAGCGCTTTGTTAAAATATCTTCTTCACCACTCTCATTTTTAAAAACCATGAAACTATAATTCCCTTCTGGTTTTTCACCATCTGCTGCATTGTACACATCTTCATCTGTATACACAAACTGTCCATAAACTTCCTCTTCCTCATGATCATCATTGTCCTGTTTCCCAGGATTTGCTACGCTCGTGTTGCTAACGCTATTCACGACAGCTTTTTCGCTTTCATTTCCTGATTGAGAATTGGAAAACTGATAATATGTGGTTGTGTTTTCGTTTCTTTCATTTACGTCTTCATGTATTGTGGAATACAATGCAATCGCCTCAGTGTCTTCATCTATTTCGGGGTCTTCTGTAAGTAATTCCATAATGATTTCTGTACCTTCTAAATCTGTTTCCTGATCTACTCGTCTCCGTTTAAGCGATAGCGCTTGCCGAAGATTATTTATACGCTGAATTCTACAACTTTGTACAACTTCTATTTCTTGGCCAATTTCTACGCCCGAAGCCTTTTCTGAATTAAACCTATTGAGACTGCTTGTTTCACATTGCTCTATTAATATTGGTGATGTTGATCTGTCATAAGTTACATTACGCATTGGCGCTGTTTGTACATAGCGGTCAGTACGTTTTATCTCGAGTTTGGTTTGAGTACATATTGTAGCTAAACACTTCTTAACTTCCGATTTTGTTTGTACACCTTTATGAGCCTGCTCTACTTTTGATGCTACCTCGTTGGGTTCGTCAGGATAGGCATCAGGTACAAGCTGACGTAGTGTTCTGCACGAATTCTCACATTTTAACTTGAATGAGTAGCACCGATTAATCTCGCTAATGCATGATAAGCAAACCCTTTCCGGAAGCTTATCTTCACGCCTTGGCTATGCAGATATACAATAAGGATATTAGAGAAAGTATGTTTGTTAATTTATAAATCAAAATTTACCTTGCTCTTTGTAAAATCTCGCAACATGACGGCAATGCATCCTCCCTCACCGCCCCCATCATAAATAGAAAGCAATGGGCCATTGAGACCAAGGCAAGTACGGCAAATCTTTTCAATATCCACTGCCATTAAGTTTTGGACGACACTTATGAAGTTTTTACAACTGGTGGAGCAAGGATTGATCCAATTTTTTAGAAGTTATAATGAAAATATCGCAAAATGAAGCTTCCAAATCGAAAGCAAACACAAATGTCAAATTTACACATTCCATGATGCCAAATCGACAACATCCATATCAAAATAACACTGCAGCTACACGATCAACAAAATTCAAGAAATTTTGCTTGCTTCGTTTCAGAAAGGAATATGTACGTTTTTCGCTGCAGTGGCAATATTGGATGTTATTAAAATATACGCATTCAATGCGAAGCTGATGGTGTTCACACAAAACGAAGTGAAGCGGAGCTTTTCTCATGAACTTGGCTGCAGAGGTACCACAAAACTTACCGTCAATTAAAAGCAGCGGAAATATTTGCTGAATTATATTCAAAGCGTTTATATTTGAGATTTTTTTATATCTTGTTTGCAGCAGCGTCATTAAGCTGAAAAACTAACCGGACGTTACACACTCAATTTTCCCCTTTAAATTTTCAATTCAGTCACAGGTTTTGACTAACACACTCATATGTATTACTTGAACGAGCAACTTGCTTTAAATTTTTCCCTTTCAATTGAGTTTCAATTTTGTGAAAATAAAAAAAAAGAATTTTCCGCATGCTAAAATGTTAAACTATAATGGAACCAAAATTGGAAAATGGTCTTCAGAAGCTAGTTAGTTACATTTTCTTGAAGACAATGAAATTGCTTCTCAAATTCAATGCAGCCTACGTAATGGCTTTCAATTTTGATTATTTTTGACAAGCGATTCGGTGACACGGTGCAGCGAACAAAGGTGGCGCCGTCAGTAGTACCGCTACTTTGGTTTTGCCGATTTTGACAGTTGTGGTAACTTGTAAATAAACCTTTGTTTACAAACCAGCGAAAGAGAAATTTGAATTATAAGTGAAAAATCAGTTTAAATCGTGTTAATTTGCAATTTGTGAGTGATTTTTGAGTTGAAGACTGCGTAAAAACTAATACAATGAAGTGCTGTGTGTTAAATTGCGACAACCGTCAAGATGCAAGAAGCGTAGATGCAAGTGTAGCGCTGGGACGAATCGGTGCATTTTGTATACATAGGGCACGGCAAAGCCGTTTTCGAAATGTTTCTCTATTATTATATTAACAGCATTTCCTCACAATGATTTTGTTTCTGCTCCACGCAGTTAACTAATCAGTCCCGCAGAAAACTGCAGCAGCCTTAATTGCAAAGCAATGGAGTGCACTAATATGTTCACTGTTCTCTAATAGATTAGGTGAAAAATGCAATATTTTCGCATTTAGCAAAATTAAAACACGTTTTTCGCAGTAAAGTGAACAGCTTTGGCTGTTTCAACTCGTTCTTCTTTTCGCTCTATTCTTTGTTTACTTGTGGTACACAAATGTCAACGCCCAGGACGGCGCAATCTTGTATTCTATCATTCTTGATTCGGTGAGGAAATTGAAAGGCAAAACTGATTAGGTTCATTCCTCATCTTTTTGGACTAAAATCTGAAGTGTCAAAATGCCAGAGCGTAAGAAAATGCGCTCACTAAAAGAGAATAACAGGAAAAGTAAAGGAACGCAAAAAACCAAATTTTTAGTCCAAAGAATGGCAACAACAAAACTAACTTCAAATAAGAATGGAAATGTATGTACAAAACACATTCACCCAAGCACAAGCACAATAAACACTTACTATATCAATTATTTTTTGCCTCCTTCCAATTTCAATTCACTTTTTTTACTTTTTAGATTATTCTCACTTTTTGCGTATTCTTTAATTTCCGTTAATTTAAATTCAGTTGAGTTTGACACTTTTCAGGATTTTGCCAGAAAAAAATTCTTCTGACTAAATCTGACTACTTCGGACTGATGAGAGTCACTCTCACTGAGTGTTGCTCTCTCGATTTTGCTGTCATTTCCGAGTTAAGGAACGCTTTTTGGATTAAATCTGACTTCTTCGGACATTTTCTGGGAGATAAGGAACGCTCCTATTAAATGTGGCACGTCGGCGAAAACGAATACTAACTTGCTCTCATCTGAGGGATGCTTGAAGTAATGCAGCGTTTTTGCTGCATTTAAAATGCAACATTTAGCACTTTCGAACATATGTTTTCGAAGAGCGTTCATGCTATCGCATTTAGCAAATGTACATTTACGCGAGTTCGAAATCGTATGCTTTTGACAAACAGCCGTGTTCCAGTCGCTTATTCAGATCCGTATCCATTACGATAAATTCTCACGGAAAAGATAATGTGTAAAAACCCCTACTGAAAAGGAAAAATAAATTCTAAACCGAAAATTCAATACAAAAACCTGAAATGTTTTAACCATAACCGAACATTTGTTTGTGTATATATTCATTTGTCGGTGCTGCCAATTATATTTTCCACTCCTAATTAGGAAACAAAACAAACAGAGTTGATCACAAATTAATCCAGATTTCTATCAGCATCATATCGATGTTGAATTTGCGTAACTTTTCTTTATCCAAATAATGTAAAATAATAAATGAAATCTCGATCGGCGATCACTGAAACGCAGCTAGCGGTTGTATACTCGAAAAAGCAATGTTGCCACTTTTTCTCATTAAACCATGTTCGAATCGTGGAAATTTTGGAAGATCACAGGGATGCTTTTAGCATTTAGATTCTGAATGCAAAGATTGAGTTGCATTTAGTTGCATTTAGATGACGAATTTTGTATGGATAAATGTACATTTAGAGTAGCATTTAGAGCTAAATGTACATTTAAGCGTAAGCAAAAACAGCCCATAAAAGGTTGTTGTGTGGTTACTTGCATCGACCTCCAAACCTTTTGGTTGTCGGGACCTAAGTCGCTTACGGCAGCAATTACGGTATACCCAATTATGTACAGCTCTTAGGATGAGGCGAATGGTAGTTTCCGTCATTTTGCAATTATAGTCATAAAAGACAGGTTTCTTCCAATTGCTGCGCAATGATCGCGCCATACCCACTTGAACCATTCGTTTTGGCGCTAAAATTACGTAATTTTTTCGGTCAAAACCGCTAATGACGATATCAGAAGATGCAAAATGTATTACACACACAAATGGAAATCTGGTTAAATTTTCTTCGTGAATGTTACACGCTTCCAGCCACTGTTTTCGCACGAACGGTAGCTTAGGAAACGTAAAAAACTTAACCCCAGAACCTTTACATGTATGTACCGAATTTTCACAGTTTGGGAACACACAGCTCATTTTTTCTTTTTATTTTTGCGAACTTACACAAAATTTATTTGATATGTGTTCAATAATTTCAGTAAACTTCATTCATTTTCATAAATTTTTGTCAAAAAAAAACAAATCTTCTGGTGATCAGGTAGCATGAATTTTATGAAATGTCATAATTTTATTAAAAGTCAAATGGTTAACAACAACAACGAATGTCATTAAATGGAAATACCTTCTTTTTTTGTATCATGCGCTATGCCTGTATTTATGTGCCTTGAAAAAAAATCATGTTTTAAATTATTTACTTGTTTAATCATATATGTAATACTTCTTTATTGCTAGTACAATATGGTCCCAATGAATTTTCCATTCGAAATCAAAGAAAGACAGCCTATGAAAATGTTTGTGGTTGGAGAAGTATACGTGTATATTTGTAAACTACTACATAGAATGAAGTGCCATATCATAACAGGGCCGGTTCAGGGAATTCAACAAACAAACACAAATTTGGCGGTCTCATGTTTCCTTCACGTTGACATGTATATCGAGCCCTAGCCGCGAAAATGAAGTAAGGCAACTTTTTTCAAATTTTAATTTTGATGCATAAATGCCTCTTAGAGCACCTGCATCAAAACGTAATTTAAAAAAAAAAAAATATATATATACATTATTTTAGCGGTTAGGGCTCGGTATGACGAATTTCTCCGAAGCTCCTCGTTATTTGGAAATCTGAAAATTTAGAAGATAGATCTTTTCCTAACAAAGACAAAACTTATTTACACATAAAGCGGTGTGGTATTTTATACGTTGGCCGAATCCAATAAAGCACGTTATTCGATTCCCTGCTATTTTTACCCTCTGCCACCACCAACGGCCGCAGCGCTTCTCATAGATTTACAAAAATTTTATTTTATGTTAATTTTTCATAAGAGTTGTTTTTAAATAAAAATTTGTGAAAGCGCTCCTGAATTTTGAAAAGTAAAATTGCCATTTTGAGTACATTCGCTTATCGGATCTCTCGTCCTTTTTTCAATATTTCGGCACTCTGATGTTTGGGAATGTACTTTTAATGCACTAGCAATATGGAAGTATTACATATACATATGTGTTTAATAAATTTTTGGCCTCAAAAATGGGTTATAATGCCAATTTTTTTCTGAAGTTTGCAAGCATTCCAAAATCATATAAAATTGAAAATATAAAAATGAAATTGTTCACCATAATACAAAAATCTTAAATATTAAGGTTAGTATTCTGTTCACAGCAGAAGATGAGCATAGTAAACGAAGATGTGCCCAACCAGTGCCCGGCATGCGGAGAGTCGCCAAATGACATACGGCACCCTCTAGCATGCCCCCAAAACCCCTCCCAGCTAACGCTCCTGTCCTCATGCACATACTCTGTTGAAGTTGCGCACTTCCTGGGCCACCCCTTATCTGAACCAGGCGACAACGTTTATGGATGAACCGACTCGAGCGGGGTTTAGTAGCCGCTACAACAACAACTACAAGTACTATGAATCAAGTACTATTTTGTCGAATTTCACACTTATTTCACAGAAAAAAATTTATATGCAATTTGACAGTTTTTCACGTAAAACGGGAACATAATATGCGTAACAGCGGCCGCTCCTCGGTTGTCAATGGCAAACCTCCGAAAGTATTTCTGTCATAACAAAGCTTCTCATAAAAACCATTAGCCGTTTGGAGTCGGCGTAAAATTGTAGGTCCCTCCATTAGTGTTATAACATAAATGCGCACATCACAAATCGAATGAGAAGCATGGCCAAACCCTTAGAAAAAGTGTAAGCGCCAAAACATTGGTGGCTATCACAGAAGTAGTTCGAATTTTCGTGAAATCTACCAAAATGCGATGACTGAATCCGAATCGCTACGAACGAGTGTATACAAAGTCAACCCTAAGTTCGTAGCTATTTGTACAATTCACGAAAAATCGTACTACGATGGCTTCTGTCATAGCCTTGATTATTATCGTATCATGGGTTTTATGCGGCAACGGTTCATTTGTGCCTTGGTGCGATTCCTTAGCAAAATCTTTTCCTTCAGTTGATGTATGATGCATTCCCGCTTCTGGGCAAATCCTTTCTTACAGAAGCAACATTTGTACGGTTTTTCGGCAGTATGCGTGTGTTGATGAATTTCCAACGTAGTACTGCATGCAAAACGCTTCGAGCAAAAATCGCACGCAAACGGCAGTTCGCCAGTGTGCATGCGCTTGTGGTGTTTTACCAATGAACTGGATTTGGTAAATGTTGCGTAACATTCATCACAACGGTAAGGATGTTCGCCGGTGTGTATACGCTTATGGCGGCGTAATTCGGCTTTGGTGACGAAACTCATTGAACATTCGTTACATTTGAAATTCCTCTCTTTTGAATGACGCATTATATGCTGCTTTAAATATGTTTTTTGACTGAAACCTTTGCTGCATATATCACATACGAAAGGCTTTTGGCCGCTGTGGACACGCAAGTGATCCTTGAATGCAGATATTGTGGTGAAAACTAGGGAAATAGACTATGAATGTAAGCTTTATCTATACTTTATGTCTACTTCTCTTACCTTTGTTGCAATGAGGACACTGATTACGTAAATTACGCATATGCATAGCTACCATATGCTTACTGAGTTCGCCATTCGAGCCAAAAATCATGTCACATTTGGTGCATTTAGTTTCTTTCAAATGTATTGACTTGTGTTCTTTTAATGTTTCTTTAGATATGAAAACACGTTCGCATATGTTACAGCTGTGCGTAACTTTATTACATAGATCTTGATTCAAATGATAGTTAAGTGATCTTTGTAATGCAAATCCTGCGCCACATGTGTCACAGGAGTGTAATAATTTAGCTCGTTTTGTTTCGTTAACAACCGGTAGCACAATAGTGGGCGAAATTTTATTGTATGGAGTACACTTAGCAGTGGTTGTGTTTAAAGATGCGTTATCACTGTCGTCGCTATTTTCCGAATGCCCACTCAAACCTTCGCTCTGTGTTGAAAATAATAGCAACAATTTGACTAAATTTTTTTATACCATACAGTGCATTCGAAAACTTGTTTTAAGATATATACCTTCGTTGTTGTATTTGTTGTAGTGGACTCTTTTTCTTTGCTAACTGCAGTTCTGTCTTTTCGAGTAATGCCATGCCGCTTTAATTTATGTCGTGCTAAACATTTAACACTCACAAAAGTCATCGAACAATGACTACATTTCGACTCTTCTTTAATTATTGGTTTTTTATATACTTTCACCGTTGATCGTGAGCGTGTTGTCACCGCAGTCCACTTTGTTACGATTTCAGATTTACCACTATCATTTTCAGAAACCATGAAGCCATTATTGCCTTCTGGTTCCTCTCCATCTGCTGCATTGTAAACCACATCTTCAACGGAAGACACATGCGGTGCGTAAACTTCCTCTTCCCCATATTCATCAGTTTCCTGTTTCAGTTGCTTTGGTTCCCCCGCGCTATTAATAAATTTGGTGAGTTTTTCTTCGCTTTCATTTCCTGATTGAAAGTTGGAAAACTGATAGTAGGTTGCCTTGTTTTCGTTTGTTCCGTTCGAGTCTTCGTGCATTGTTGAATACAATACAATTGCTTCAGAATTTTCAAATATCTTGGCCTTTGCTTTATTGCAAAGATTTTGTTTCCTATGATAGGTAAGTGATCTTTGTAATGCAAATCTTGCGCCACATGTGTAACAGAAGGGTACTAATTTGGCTGGTTTTGTTTCGTTATCAATCGGTAGCGGAATGGTGGGGGAAGTTTTATTGTATGGAGCAGGGTTTGTTTTGGTTGTGTTTAAAGATGCGTTATCACTGTCGTCGCTATTTTCTGAATCCCCACTTAAACCATTGCTCTGTGTTGAAAATAATAGCGTCAATTTAACTACATTTTTCAATATCATACAGTGCAATTGAAAATTTGTTTTAAGATACCTTTGTTGTTGTAGTGGTTGTAGAGGACTGTTTTTCTTTTCTGACTGCACTTCTGTCTTCTCGAATAATGCCATGCCGATTTAATTTATGTTGTGCTAACCATTTCGCTCTTACAAAAGTCATCGAGCAATGACTACATTTCAACTCTTTTTTAATTATTGGTTTTTTATATACTTCCGCTGTTGATCCTGAGCGTGTTGTCACCGCAGTCCGCTTTGTTACGATTTCAGATTTACCACTATCATTTTCACAAACCATGAAGCCATTATTGCCTCCTAGTTCCTCTCCATCTGCTGCATTGTACACCACATCTTCAACGGAAGACACATGCGGTGCGTAAACTTGCTCTTCCCCATATTCATCAGTTTCTGGTTTCATTTGCTTTGGTTCCCCCGCGCTATTAATACATTTTGTGAGTTTTTCCTCGCTTTCATTTCCTGATTTAAAATTGGAAAACTGATTGTAGATTGCCTCGTTTTCCTTTGTTCCGTTCGAGTCTTCAGGCATTGTTGAATACAAGATAATTGCATCAGAATGTTCACCTATCTCGGCCGCATCTTTATAGATGTCCATAATTACATCTGTAACTTTTAATTCCGTTTCCTCCTCGAATCGTGTTCGTTTAACCGATCGCGCATGCCGGAGATCCTTTATAAACTGAATGCTACCTCTTTCTTCAACTTCAATTTCCAAAGCATTTTCTGACTTAACTCTATTAAATCTGCTTGTGTCACAATGTTCCATTATTAATGGCGATGTTGACCTATCACACGTAACGTTGCACATTGGTGTCGTCTGCACATAGCGGTTAGTTTTTTCCACATCGAGTTTTGTTTGGTTGCATGTTGTAGCTAAACACATTTTGTCTTCCGGTATGGTTTGTACACCTTTGTGAGCCTGTTCTACTTCGGCTTTTGATACTATAACGTTGGCTTCGTCAAGAAGTGAATCAGGTACTAGCTGACGTAGTGTTTTAAAGGAATTCTCACATTTCAACTTGAAGGAATAGCAACGATTAATCTCGCTGATGCATGATAAGCAAACCTTTTCCGGCAGTTTGTCTTCACGTCTTGGCTATGCATAAATACTAAGCATTAGACAAAATAGGTAAAGATTTATTAGTAATAAACATTTATACCTTGCTTTTTGTAAAATCATGCAACATGTCGCCAATGCATTTTCCATTGTCATTTCCATCATAAATACCAAGCAAGGGGCCACTGAGGCCCAGGCAAGTACGACAAATCTTTTCAATTTCAATTGCCATTAAATGCACACACTTTTGGTAGGAACTCAGGAAGCTTTTATCACTGGTGGAGCAAGAATTAATACAGTTCTGGACGATTTATCAGAAAAACAACGTAAAACCCGACCGCAATATCGACCTAGATTAGTGATGTGCAGAATTGTCGGTACCCAATACTTAAAAGAGATTTCGGTACTCAGTACTTCCTTTTCAGCACCCGATACCGATTCTCCCAACTTAAGTGCTCATTTACACACGGCGATTTTTGTTGCCGCAACTCGACGTTTGTAGGAGAGAGCGTGACGAGGAAAGGAGAGGGGCACCGAGTTGCTCGTGCTCGGGCAACACGCTTTGTGCTCTCGTTCGTCTGTGTAAATTGAGTTAGCGGTTCACATCTGACAACAACAATTGCATACACAAAAATCGTCGTGTGTAAATGAAATGAGCAACACCAAAAGGGAATGTGAAAAATCGCGTCGACAAAAGTTTCCGTGTATAAACGCAGTCTAAGGGCCATGCATGCTTATAACATGTGATCGATAAAGCAGTCGTTGAATTTAACCGGAGCTTCTACCTCTGATTTGTGCAAATCAGACATTGAACAACCGGCCCTAAACCTTCGCCATTATATGTATCTCAAGTTTAGAAAAAACTTTCATTACTAATTTATATGATATCGGCTAAAACACTTGAACTTATCGCAACAGAGAAATCTTCTTATATTTACGGATGAAGAAGTCTTTAGGGAGGTGATTCTGTAACTCGTTATCGACAATTTTCGGTTCGATATCGCACTTGCTGACGTAAAAATATTTAGGGCCGGTTACTCAATGTCTGGTTAACACTAATCTCCGGTAAAACATCGTTATCGACGTTACCGACTCCATGTTAGACTGCTTTTACACAGTTCAAGTATTGAATTCAATTCTGCTCGCATGTGGTAGAGAGGGGGTGAGAAGAAAAGGGACGAGTACACATGCGTCTGTACCGTCAAGTCGCTTCAACTTTCTTGTTTTGCTTTTGGCATTTTCGTTGCTTCCCATTTAAAGAACCAAAAACTTGAATTCAACAGAATTGAAACGTGTAAAAGCAAATAGAAAACACAAAAGAGAATGAGCAAGAATTGCTTTCAAGTACTTGAATCATGTAAATCGGGTGTTATATGCATGGAGCCGAACACGTCGATAATGATGTTTAAACGGAGATTAGTGTTAACCAGACATCGAGTAACCGGCCCTAAGTTATTTTTAAAAACATTTACTGAAAAGCTTGTTGGGATATTTACATTTTTTGTTTAGGCTATCTGGATTACTGTATACTGTGGTTACAACAATTTTTATTTTTTCTAATTCCAATTTTTTATTTTTTTTTGTATGTCACATGGCACGCTTTAATTTAGAAGAAAAAAATCGGAACAGTTTTTGACACATTCGATACCAGAAGCAACAACAAAATGCACTCAAATGTTGTTTTTGCTCTAAAGCTATTACCTGTTTGATATGGCTTGGTTGCAACCTTCTTTCTTAGTAAATTTGTTTTCTCCTCGAAGCATTGATCCATTGGGCGAACGTTTCAAAAGCTATTATTCAGTAGCTTGTTTTGCATGGGAAAAGTTTTCACATGCAATAGATTTTAAGAATTTAGAGTTTTTGTGAGAAGAAATTAAAAATATTTGACATTTTCGGGACCAAATAATTTGAAAAAAAAATTAAATCAGCTGCTCTACTGATATTATCTGTTCAATGTGGCTTGGTAGGTACTTACAGCACTAGCTTTGATCCAGCACCCGGATTCCAGCATTCGCTATCGTTAATTTTGATCGCTAAAAATCTCTAAAATAAATCTAAATTTAGCCTAGCGATTGTCAGAAATCCACTGCGGTACACCAAAATCTTGTAAATGAGAGCGATTTTTGGAGAGTTGTATAGAGAATAAAGTTTCAAGATTTTACCCGAACTTTTTCTTCTGGTAAAATTATGAAAAGTGCCAAGCGATCACTGGTTGACGTTTTTACAGGAAAAATGCTTTTTTATTAGCGTAGTTTTTGTTGTTACCAACTTTTTACTCTCACTTCCGAGAGTAATTTTGCACTTTGAAATTTTTACAGGATTTTACACGAAAAGTATTGGATCAGGGCTATTGTAAATAAGAAGAGATATTCGAATATTATCAGTCCACCGTCACAAATGAACGCGAATCACGATTTTTTTAAGAGAGTTTATAGATTGCTATGATATGCAACGTTGTCTCTGGGAGTATGTGAAGCGTGATAGAAAAATAAAGTCATATGAAGAATTGTTAAATATTACGAATAAATACAAAAAAACAATGGAGTGTTGAAGATGTAAAAAAAAATAATTACTATTCGTTCGTCCTATAGAAGAGAGCTTAAAACAATTAAGCAATCAGAGTTTTCTGGTGCCGGTGTTAATAATGTTTATCAACCAACAATAATATTTTTATCCTCCATCTCTCCTTGATGAATTTCGCGGCTTGAATAATGGTTTGATCTCATACATGACTGGCAGTTGGACCGCTACAAGGCGTCGGTCAAAACTGATAAATTCTTGACTGACAAACTTGATCGACAACGTGTAGCACCCTTTTCAAAAGTACTTTAACAGCCCTATTCCAGGGTTGCCGTTTTTGGCTTTTCCTACCAAAACTGGTAGGTTTTTTTTCTCGTTGGTAGGATGGTTGGACGCTTAAAATTTTGGTAGGTTTCTTTCTCATAAAACAGAAAACATCTTTGGTTTGTTGTAGTGTGTCACTTTGTCAGCACTTTGCAAAACACCTTAAAAAACTCGTAGCTTGCTGTCATAGGCAGAATTTCACCAATTATTTACCTTCGGCGATTCTCTGAACTCCGTATACGCTATAAAGAGTTGTAAAGGCAGGTTTATAAATCAGATATTTTTCTTTGAAATGCAATACATATTTCCAGTATATCGGAGGATCTCAAAGTGTTTACCCGCAATTCGAAGAAATGAGTGGCAAATCCGCAGCGCGCAGATTTTTTCCCGGCCCGGCGGCTCCTGGACCCGGACATGTACATATATATACTTCATAATAAATATGTGTATGCAAATGAGTGATGTATAAAAATTCTACGTCGGAATTTTATTTTCTGCTACGATTTTTTTACGTCCGAAGGCTTTATTAAAACTATAGACTGTGCGAATTTTTTGCCATTTTTCGCAATTTATTCGAAATTTGGAAGGCGTAGAAATGCAACGGACCTCAGATTCTGGTTCAGCGGGTCGCATTACATGTCGGTACGTGGGTCTGGTTAAAAGCACACACCACACCAAAAAAATCTATTTATGAAGGTAGTTTCAATAAAAAACTTTTTGATTATAATGCAGATTTTTGACAATTGCTAAATTTAGAAAAATTCGAAGCGGCGTTACCCAATTTAAATTTTTTGGCGGAGGAGATTTTATACGATGAATTTGGAATTATAAATATAAAAGTGGTATTACTCGTTACCTTTTAAAAATAATTAATTGGGGTGTTCACAGTTCGTTCCAAATTGTGTCTGAAAATGTAGACGTCTACATTTTGAGACATCTTTAGCATTAAACTGTGAGCACACCTCTCTAGCAGTCGTCGCAAAATCGTCTCAAAACTTTGCTGGTGCTGCCAGACATTTCTTCCTTGCGTGCATTTTTTATATGTCGCCTTTCGATTTTGTTTCTGAAAAATTGTAATTATTTAACTTAATTACCAATTCCTAATATTTGTTATTTCTTTGCATCGATTTGTTTCTTTTCATCAGAAATTGCGCTCAAATTAAATGCAAATACAGAAAACGTGCCCAATAAATAAAAAAAATGCGATTAGTATTGCCATAATGCAACCCTGCTGCGAGGTTGCAAAATGTAGACGCGTAAAAAACATATCTTTGAGTGTGACAAATTGTAGACGGCGTCGTTTTCCAATTTTGTATGTGAAACAACAACACCACAGATTTTACGGTTAGAAAACGTCTTAAAATGTAGACGTCTACATTTTGAGACACTATTTGGAACGAACTGTGAACACCCCATCTATTTGGAACGAACTGTGAACACCCCAAATATCTTATCTTAAAAATATTTAAATTTCACATTAATTCGATAACCACTCGCCAAAATCATTATCTTTAGATAGATAAAATTTTAGTGATACTGCAAAACATTCTATGTCACTTAAGGCCCGTCCACATACAACTTTGGCGTTGCGTTGGCGCTGGCGTCGCTTTGACAGCGGCGCGCGTAACGCCCGTGCTTGCTACAATGAGCGCTTAGCACAGAATACTTTGGTCACTAAATTAACATACTAGCGGCTGATAAATCAAAATTTTTACATCAATAATTGCATTAAAAACTATATTTCTTGCCCGCATTTGATTAAAAATTAAAATTAAATCACATAATTTTGATTATTTAGAACAGCTGACGAACGACGCGCGCGAAAAGTTGAGAGTTGGCCATCTTTCTGCGTTGTGTTGGCGTTGGCGTTGCCCAACTTTGGTTATATGGAGACTTTCATATAAATACATGTATTCATAGTCAGCTGTCGAAGCGACGCCAACGCCAACGCAACGCCAAAGTTGTATGTAAACGGGCCTTTATTATCTCTGGTGCTTAATTGATCGGTTATCTGTTATCTGTATCTGATCGCCCCTGGTAATCGTTCATCTTCATCAGCCAAAGGTAGACAGTTTGGTCATTCGTTTATTAGGGTGTAACGATCTGTATTCTGGTGCAAGTAAGATACCATCTAAGTGTCAAGGGTACTAATAGACATAGACCGTTTTGCAGTATCACCGACGATATTTTAAATTTTTTTAGTGTCCTTATGTCATCTGATTATTTCACAATATAGCTAGCCAGGACTATTGCGATGATACGATTGTTTCTGATATATTTCAGATATATTTCACAGAAATTACCTATTTCGATGTGTTGTTTAATACACATTGTCTTAGTCCATTTAACTGCATGTCTTTTAAGTAATTTGAAAGTGGAAATTACTTTTGGACCCGTGGGCCTCATGACTTTTAGAGAAGTCAATTATTTCGATTTCAAGTATATTTTGACTAAATCGTTGTTTCTTTTGGTAAAAATATATATATTTTACTGTTCAAAATTGCTGGTGCCGTGAAATAAAATTGATGATTTATTGTAAGTA